GAATGGTGGTGGAAGGCAAGCCACGTCGCCGATGAGCCACGAGAGCTGTTCGACGCCGTCCGCACAAGGCTGGTCTGGTGGCACGCATACCACTGCGTCGGATTCCGTTGGCCACAAACCACCGACGCCCCAGCCAGAAATGGGCACGGGAACGTGTTCACTAGTGCTGAATGGTGAAATGTATTTTCGGACAAGTTCCGCATACATTTGTGCTACAGCAATGGCCGTTGTATAGTTCTCCGCGACCATAGTAATTGTAATCTTCCAGCCTACATTGTTCCGCGACCTAGCGAACAGGCGCCAAGTGTAATGGTTTGGGCGCCATTGGCTCCACTGTTCGATTTCGCTTTAAACGTATTGAAGCCAAACTGAACAGCAATCGCTACATCACAGGCGTTTTAGAGTCCGAGGTACTGGACCTTCTGCTACCAGCTCCACAGGCTCAGCAGGATAATTCCCGACAGAAAGTCACGAGGAATTGTTAATCTATCTGCGAAGAACGGGTACCACTGCTACCCAGGTCTGCACATTCGCCTGACATGTCGCGCATCGAACATGCCTGGGATATGACCGGTCGACCTGGTCCTACTGCACCCAGTGTTGATGCTTTGTGGTCACGCATAGAAACAGCGTTGCAGTGTATTTCCAACAGCATACATCTAGGCTCTCTTGTCACGATGTCTAGATTTGATGGCAGTGCGTGGCAGCTTCACTCAGAACTAAATACCAGGGGCGGATCCAGACACAAACGTTGGGAGGGGAAATTCAAAATGTTTTGGGTGAAGTGTCCAAAGATTTTAATAAATGTCACACGCTACTCAGTTGATGCTGCGATATGATTCTACTCGTTTCAATGATTTTCCAAAACTACTTTTGTTTTCAAGCTACGTGTTAAGTAAAAATTAAAAGTTACAGAAAAAATTTGGAAGAGGTGCAATTTCTTTTAGTTTCCTCTAGTGGATCGGCGGCAGTAAATACTAAAGGTCAAAATGCACGTAGAGTTCTGTAATTATATGCATTTGAATATTGTGATATTCCTATAATGAAATACATTTATAACAGTAATAGTATCCACCATCAACTGCATTGGTTTAATTTTGTTTGATTATCTGAAAGTTAAATATAATTTAAAAAATAACAGTTTCATTAACAACTTTCTCTTAAATAGTAAAGTATAGGGTTGCATAGGGAAAGGGTGGAGATTAACATGCGAGATTAAGCAAGAGACAGCCTAGTTACATAAATTACGGCATACATCATAAAAAAAAGTTTATTTAAAAATTCTTCACTGGTTAGTATGCATAATATATTACAGATTGATTATTGCACAAATTAATTAAGTTTAGTTTAACATTAGAAAAGTTGAGATATCGTACAACATAAATTTAAAATTTGAATTGGAAAACCATACAGACTAAACATGTACATTTACCTCTTATTCAGAGTTATCATTCAATAGAAATAAATTTAAAATGCCAGAATGGTTTTAACCTTACAGAGTAAAGATGAACCAATGGATTTATAATACTTCTCCCATGTGAGAGTTCAATACTGTACATTCATTTCTTTTGACGTCATTATCCGGCAGGTACGGGCGGGCAGCATAGCCAGCAGTTCATTGTGCCGTGAGTGCGCTGCCAGTGAGTTATCATCGAAGACTTGCTACTAAAACGAAGAGAACACGCATCACACGAATATCCGCGCTCTTCCGTGTGTATGGCCTTGTGTCCCTTGAGGGCGCTTGACTGATTAAAAGATTTTCCACACACATCGCATGAGTATGGGCACTCTCCCGAGTCCGTGCGCTTGTGCACGGCGTGGTTGCCTGAACTACTAAATGCCTTTCCGCATACAATCCACGAGTATGGTCGCTCTCCCGTGTGCGTGCGCTTGTGCATGGTGAGGTTGCCTGAATGACTAAAAGCCTTTCCACACACATCACATGAGTACGGGCGCTCTCCCGTGTGGCTGTGCACGTGCCTGGTGAGTGCGTTTGGATGATTAAAAGCCTTCCCGCACACACTGCACACATATGGTAGTTCTCCTGTGTGTATGCGCTTGTGAACGATGAGGTAACATTGAGCCGTGAAAACCTTCCCACATACGTTGCATGAATGAGGCTCCTTCCTCGTGTGCCTGCGTTTGTGGAGGGCACGAGTAGCTGCTTTATCAAGTGTTTTTCTGGGCACGTCGCATGGGTGCGTACGCTCTCGCTCCCTCTTGTGCCTGCGCTGGTGAAGGGTGACAGCTGCTGCGGTAGTGAAAGCCTTCCCGCACACGTCACACGGATGATGCCTCTTCACCTTGTGCCGCCGCTTGTCAAGTGCGAGAGCCTTGGAACATTGGCGCTCTGCATCCAGCGTGGGAGGCGCGAGGTCGCTGGTCGCGGTGGAAGATGCTCCGCAGACGCCGCGGCGCAACGGCTGCGTTCCCGAGTGCTGGCGCTCGTGGTCCTCGAGGGCCCTCGAAGAGGCGAAGATGGCGTCGCAGTCGCGGCATTGCAGAGTCCGCATCCGTATCAGGCGCACGTGAGCCTGCAGCTCCGGCGCTGGGGGGACAGTGGGACGGGGGACGCTGTTAGCAGACCCCTCTGGCATCGACTGGCCCCTGTCTTGTTCCTGGTCCTCGTCCTGTGGCGGTGGAGAGCCCGCTGCGTCTGCGATCAGTCGAAAAGAAATTTATGTACTCATGAAAGACAACTGAACTGACAACACTACTGAAACCAGTCCTCAGTTTCGCGTTGCACATGTCAATTTAAAGGTGAAATAGTATGAAATATTAAGGTATCAAGACGTAGAATGAGGAACTAGAAGTGTTGGAGGACCTGTGTGTAAGGACGGAAAATATGACTCCCACAAATTTAGAATGGAATATTAAAGCCCCATCCATAATATTTATAACCAAGTGGTGCTATTTTGTCACCTACTTTCTTGTATTATTTAGAGTTTATGTAGAATATTATCATACTACTTAAAAGCGCAACCGTGATTCAAACGTACACAAATATTGGTTTAGAGTAGGACAGGTCTGCCCGCAAAATCAGCACATTCATTTGACAATAAGCAAGAGTGTCAGTACAGACGTTCAGAAGTTTGAGAACAATCCCCCAAGAGCGATATATTCCAAATAGGAAACCAAGAAATCGCAACTCTAAAGACGTCACAAAAACAATCAGAACACTGATCTCTCACACTAAGACACCACAGGAAAAACCAATAAAAATTAGGCCGGAAAATTATTCGTTCCTTCAGTTTGGCGACAACAATCCGAGCTCGCATACTGCAACTCAATGTTTTTAAAAAAAATGTCCAAAATGGCTCTGCGCGATGAGCAATAGATCACATTAAAACATCACATCATTTTACATCATCACAGAGTTCTGATGATATTTGACACATTGGTAGATGAATGAAATATTAGAAATACAATTTTGAGTAAAATATTTTTAACAATAGAAAATTTAGAAACAATCCGTAAACGTTCCAAACAGATAGTGAAGTTTAAACATGGGACTGCAGGGGGCTCACATGACAATTTTTATACATAAATAACCCATACAATAGAGTGTCTGGTTACGACTTGCTTTAGTTATAAACTATGATGAAGTTACATTACATACTCTAGTCGTGTTGACAGTTTTTAAAAGCTTCAGGAGTTTGGTAGTCTTTCTTCACTGACAAATTGTAGGCTCTCCGTGTTTGACTCAAAGATTTTGTTGTACCAGCTGGTTTAAAAATCCTTCAAATGTATCCTTGCTCTCACTTTTGCCAGAATATACCCAGCCACAGTTATTTTCATAGATTATGGTTATATACTCTGTAACTTCTATCAATTGCAGATGATCTCCAGATACTGTAACTCTTTCTACGGTTGTCTCATTTGAAACTGAGGTATTGACTTTTAGTTTCGAATTACTTAAAGGGATGGGAACAAGACAAAGTTTTTGTGTGCCTGGTATTGATAGAGACTCTGTTTCGACGATTTTCCAAAAAATGTTTCTGCAAATTCATCATGGGTAATGTAACGGTACAAGCTCATGCGCTGAAAAATTTCCATGAAAAAAGGAGGGGAAAAGCAGACGCCCGGACGTGGCTGCGAAAGGGGGGGTCGAAATACCGCGCACGTTCGGCTTTTGAGGCGAGGGGTTGTATGCGATTTCAAGGCAGGACACCCCGCGCCAAATGTCAAGTGGGTGCCCCTGTTCCTCCATGCGACGCTCGTAAAATGAACCCAACGCTAATTGCGTCTCTCGGGAGACAAATTTACGACCCACGGTCAGCGGCGCACGTGCGAATCCGAAGTAAACAGGCGCGAAGTTTTTTTTATAACAACGGACATTCTGGCCGTTGGGAAAAGGGTTCCATGATTGGTTAAACACGCGCCACTCTGCTCGGCGAAATTAAACCCGCGTATCGGGAGGATACACGCTGTTTGAGGGAGGGGTACCGAGGTTTGCTGTTACCAGCCGCCGCTCTGTAGTTATTCGATTTCATAACTCTGGCACGTGGTCGTTCGATTTGATAGTTCGCGCACAGCACTCGAGCGACTTCTTTTTGACTCGGCCGTGCGTGGTCATTGGAGTTCTTAGCTCGGCCATGAGTATTCAAGTTCAGATTTGCATTGACAAACTCAAGTTAATAACTTCGCTTCGCTGCTCATTTACTCTCAAGTAGCATTCGAAGCCTCTTGCGGAAGTTGACCCTCGCGCACATCTGTCGAAATTCAGACGATAGGGGTTGCAGCTCTCGCCTAAAGTCAATACCGCGTTATGACAATCGTCCGCGACGCTGGTATGGAAGTTGATTGGCTTCCAATCAATCATCGCCGATGAACACGTTGCTGCCTGAGGTTGGTGACGCTGGTTGCAATTGCGCGTTGGAAGCGCGGCGGCATCAGACGGTCACGCTGAGAGCCCCTGTGTTCACCGCTCTGCCTGGAAAAGGCGGCCGCCTCCAGAACGCAGCCGACGACTCCACCACCGGGCTTGCATGGGATGCCCGCCGACAGAAACGAGGGTAATAATCCGCTTAGCTCCGCATAAATACGGTCGAACACTTGCTGAGCGAATCGGGGGGGAAGGGTGCCACACGACTCGCTGGCTTACATTAAAAAAAAGTTCTAAGAAAAATGTTCTGAAGTGCCTATTCACACAACTGAAATGGAGTTAGAAGTTGATCTTCATAATGGCGTTGCAAGGTAGCTCGGGCAGCTAATCTGATCACTGTCCCACCAACACCGTCCGACACATGGCCCTTTAAAATGCGCTGTTGCTGAAAAATGGCATCTGACTCTATATTCAAGTCCTCTTTGAGAGAACACATGTTAAGTTTTGATCTATTTTTTAGTAGGCTGCTGACCCATCTGAAAAGTAGAAAATATTCTTAACATTTCCTCAACAAACTTACTTCTCAAGAAGTCAAAAAGTTTGTTTTTTTTTTTGTGTTTATTTTTGGAAACGATACACTGCAACTGTGTTATGCTCCAAGCAGGAAGAAATTGCCACAAAACTTTTGTGCTCAATTTTATCTCTTTTGTAGTCTTCCACTAGTGGGTGGACTATGGCTTTGGACCAGTGGTAGCTCTGAGCTTCGTCTTGTAGAACAAAAATAGTTTTTCACAAAGTAACAAATTACAAGAAATTCTGAGACCTTACGTTTTCCTTAAGGCTATTTACTGCTTGTCGACAAAATCATGCCTGACAAGATCAAACAAATTTTTACCAAATAAATCAGAAGTTGATTTTTCTAATGTCTCGCAGTTGCATCTGTCAACTGACACTCACTGACGAAAAGTTACATTTTCTATAAAGTATTCTTCAAAACCTTCTAAAATCATTAACTTCCACTGTCACCCCGTCAAATCGTTTTCACTCCCTCATATCCAGGTCAGGATGAACATTTTCTCAAGTGGCAATCAAGGGAAGCAGAGTTGCACTGTACTTTAGCCAGACAGTGTTTGTAGGAGGGTAATTTTTAGGTTGTTAGGGAATCAATCATTTTCTATCATTCGTTATAGATTTTCATGTGTAGTAAGCACACATACAGAATATGTACCACGAGAACCAGCCAGAACTCAGCTTTTAGGACGAAGCTCATTAAGATCATCACAAAGCTTTCGAAAAGACTGAGGTTTGATAGAAGTGCTTCAAGCTGGGTGCAAGAAGCAACATGTAAGCCTGCCACTGTCGATGAGTGTTTTAACAAGTGACTCATTCATTGAAGATGGAATATGCAGCTTTGATTCAAACCAAACCTGGAAAATATCCCCTTTTTGCATAATCTTCTTCTTTGGTAACAAAATAAATTTCTTTTATATGTCAATGATGTCAGAGATGTTCTACTGCAAATTGTTTATAATTGATAATTTTACAATGAAATAGAATATCAGTAATATTAAAAATCATAATAATGCACAACATACTCGCCAACAAAATACACAAACTTAATAAATTGTTGTTTTATGTTTTGAAGATACTGAAGTCGTAGGCTTCCGTGGCCAGAGTCATGTGCGTGATCTTTGCTTGGTATGCATACCAGCCCCAAGAACGACCACGACAAGATGGTCGAAAAGTCGGCAACAAAGCCTTCGACGTGGCGTCACACGGACAGGCAAGATCACGCTTTTCAAGATATTGTCAGCATTCCGTGCCTGACGCAGGACGAGCAGAAGATTTCGTTAGCATACCCACGCTGCCGCAGGATAGGCAAAAGGTCTTGTAGCATTCCGTGACTGAAGTTTAGCAGCCGGACTAGACGCAATAGGAGCCTTTGTACCAAGGGCGATCTCTACGAATTAGTCGAAATGGACGAAAAATGAAAAAGACATATGGTTCATTTCCTTTTGCCATAACCTACGAGGCCTGTCAAAAAAGTATCCGACCTTAATTTTTCCCGCGCAAAGTAGTGATTCTAAGGCGGCGCCACTGTGCACGGTCGAAGGAGGAGCCTTAATGCGCATGCTTGAATTTTTCCAATACCTTCGCCTGTGCCAGTCGATGGCTGGTGGGCGCTAAGTAAGGTACTGTTCGTAGTGTTGGTCGGATTTAGTTTTCTCGCAAGATGACTGAACGAATTGAGCAAAGATACTGCATCAAATTCTGTCAAACGCTTGGTGATTCTCAAAGCCAAACAATTCGTAAGAATCAGCAGGTGTTTGGAGAACATATGATGGGTGTAACACATATTAAGCAGTGGTTTAACCGATTCAAAGATGGCCGCACATCAGCAGAGTGAGCACCGTGGCGGCAGGCCCCAAACTGATCGGAATGCAGCTGTTGTTGAGAGAGTGCGAAATTTGCTGATGACAGATCGCCGTTTGACAGTGCGGGAGATTGCAGAGTTTGAGCGAGTAAATGATTCTGCGCATGCAATTTTACGTGAAGATTTGAGCATGACAAGAGTGGCTGTTAATTCTACCCAAGTTGTTGCTCGGAACAAAAAGGAACGAACTTCTGACAACGCCAACAATGATCCTGGTTTCTGAACAAGCGTGATAATTGGAGAAGAGACATGGTGTAACGGTACCACCCAGAAACGAGAAGACTGTCGCGTCCAATGGAAGCATCCCGATTCTCCAAGGCGAACGATGCCGCGCAGGT